GTATTCAGCACTCAAGCAGCAGAAGTATTTCTCCTTACATGGCTTTCCCATGACACCCTAGCTGCACAGTGGTTCTCAACTTTTTAAAATCAAGGCAGCCTTCTGTAAGTTTCCTGATTTTGGCAGCACCCCAGTTGAGAACCACTGTAAAGTCTAAGTTTACCTACTTTTTTCCAGGCTGCTGCCACTTCTGCCACCAGCTGAAACTACCCCATGCTCCTCTGTTTCCAGAAGAGGTATGTGGGACTGGATAGGGAAGCTTCCCTCCCTTCCCTTTCCCCATTGCCTGGCAGTTTGTAAATAAGAGATGCAGGTTTTGCAAAAGCCATATGTGGCTGTCCTATACCCTGGGTGCTCAGCCCTAGCCCATGGGCCAGATCCAGCCCTCAGAACCATGTTATCTAGCCTGTGAGGATCCCCATGAGTACAAAAGTTTGGCAGCAGGGGAGCAATGGCAGCTAACTGATGCTCCCCTGCTGTAAAATTTTGAGACATGGGGGAAGCTCTGTGAGCCTGATAATGTGGCCCTGTGTGCTAGATTGAGTGCGTGGGGCTGATTGGAGTGGATCAAGTGGGGCAGCATGGGGTGGTATGGGGTTGAGCAGGACAGCATGAGGCTGAGTGGGGCTGTGTGGGGTGAAGCAGGGTGGCAGCAGCGCAGGGCCCAATCCTGGCATGTGGGGCCTGATCTGGCTTGTGACCTCCATGCAATTTATCAGACCTGCAGGGCCAAAAGATTGAGCGTCACTGTCCTACACTCCGAGAGTCCCCCTGTGGGCTGCTGTCTGCATTTCCCATTTACGAACTCCCAGCCAGCAGGGAAGAGGAGCAAAGCAGGGAAGGGAAGGAAACAAAACTTAATGCAGACAAGAGTGCCCACTAGTGCCATACAGCTGCTTCACTTTCCAGCCCTGCACGCCCTTCCTAGAAACATAGGCAAGTGGAGCAATTCCATCTGGCTGGCTGGCTGAGGCAACACCATCGTCTGCACCCTTGAAACAGTGTTGCAGCTCCCCAGTTGAGAAAAACTGCCATAACCAGATAATGTCTAACAGTGTCACTGTTCTTCTTGCAGCTGCTTTTCAACTCTCTACTTTGACTGTGGGCCAAATTTCAGAGCAGTGCATGGAAAGCAGACTTCACACATAGGACCAGATAATCAGGTGGTGTAAATTAAGCAAACACTATTGACAGTTGCAAAGCTACACTAGTTTTACTAGCTGAGGATCTGGTCTATGCCCAGTAACAGCCGGGGAAATGGACAGCCATATCCTGGCTTAGATCAAGTCCATATCACAGAGGCAAACTACTTATGATGATCCTACAAGGCATGGGAATAATATGAATTAGGAAGAGAGGACAGTGCAGTCAGATATACTTCATAAATGTGGCCCTCTGCTGTACAACCATGAGATTTCAGATGGATCATAAATTACATGGCCCACTTCTACTTCATGTTCCTGGGCTGAGCAGGGTTTTTTTGCATGTGCGTGCGTGCTACGTCAGAGAAAATTTGGCCCCGTGCATTTCATCTCTGAAGCCAGCTCTGATTTTATTTAGAACACGCTGTAGTGCTACAGCCTCAAGGCTGCAAAGGCTCAGTGCCAGTCTCCAGCAAGAGAGGCCAGGACTCTATAAATAGTGCGACTGGGCTGCTAGGGGCAGCCTGTAATCTGCTTGAGTTTCTTGTTTAGCAAGCCAGGGGTGAGCCAGTAGGAGACATGAAGCCTTCTTTGCACTAGCAATAACTCCTCTGCATTCCAGCCCATAATTAACTGTCTTAAGTATGAAGGTAATGTCATGCAGGAAACCTCAACACTAAAAAAAAACCCCAACCAACCAAAAAAAACCCATATTCTTTTGTGCTTCCCCCTACACCTTAGCTTCTCACCAACTGTGCCCTTGAGGAGCATTCCCTCTGCACAAGAAAATCAGCTCTTCCCCCCGCTGTTCCCATCTCCAAAATACAAGTAAGTAAAAATAATAAATCCAAAAATAGACTAAGGGCAAAGAGGAAAGATGAATCCTCGTCCCCAGAAGGCCCATGGAGTTTTTGGAAGAGTCTAGGGCTCAGCTGCAGATATTAAAATTTACCAGCTCTTGCATTAATCATGCATCATTGTAACCTGAATTCACAAGAGGCTTTGCCTACAGTTGTTTATATAATATGCTGTCTTTGATACGGAGGGCCAACTTCATCAAAACATGACCAAGAGGTCACACATGTGAAAACATAAACCAGCTCACTGTCATGCACTTTTTATTTATTTTTCAAAGTACTTCTTAGGGCTGGGCAGTTTTTCATAACATCCCTACTTGATACAATATCTTTCATGCTAGAAAGTAACCCTCTTTCCCCAGGTATGTAGCACACGGTATATTTCTCTACATAGTAAGGACTACCTTTCAAGTATTGCATTTCATTTACAATAAAAGTTTATTTATTAGTAGCTGTATCACTAATAGCATATTTCAGAATCAGAGAAACTTTATTATATTTTAAGCTCCATGCTCTCAGGTTTATCAGCACAGCTGCAGCCAGGATTTACAAGCAGAAATAGGTTTCTAGAATTTTTATGCAAGCAAACTCATCCTAAAAAGAAAGACATTTAAGTCACTTAAGGGCATGTCATCTTGTTATAGTACACATGCAAGCTGAGAGGACTATTTGGGTCTTGAATGTCACACATTATACTTGCAAGAAAAACTTCCAAGCTGTATGAAGACAGCTGGATTTTGTAAGTCCTAACTTCCTCTGAGATGTTTAGTCTGTATCTTTTGAAGGAGGTCTTATGTGTCTATAAGTACGTATCATGTGCTCACATCTGTTATTTGGATTGTCCAGTACTATTTCATTAATTGATGTATTTTATATATTCTCAGGTCTACCTTGTATTGCTTATGCAGTCTTTCTGTAACAAAAACAGTACTTTTGCAGGATTTCTCTCTGGTCACTAATGCTAGGAGGCTTAAAAATATGACAAAACCCTTGGAATGTCTAATATGCTTTACAGCAACATCAATAATTTTACCAATGTTATGTGGACCTGATCTTCTCCTTTCCTAATAAAAAAATCAAGAGAGTTTAACCAGGCTAAGTGAGAAAACAGATCTTGTATGGGCACGTCTACACATGTAATTAACGTGCAGAAAGCATACTGCGCAGTAAACTTTCCCTGGAGTGCATCTACACACGCACCCATTATGTTTCGTGCTAAACTAGCTTGTTATAACAACGCTTTGCCTATAATGCCTTCCATGGCAGGATCTTAAAGTGCTTTAGAGACAGTAATGAATTAGTCTGCTGACACTGGGAAGTTAGACAGCTTCACCTTTAAATAAAGAAATGGAGGCACAAGCAATTTAACAGCCACATTTTCAAAAACTATAATTTTGGATGCCTCAATTATAGTTACCTATGGAGAGTGATTTTCAGAAGGGCTCAGAAATGCGACTCCCATTGAATATAGCTGTAAATGCTTTCTGTTTCCAAAAAAAATCAAACTCTGGATTCTTGAATTGTGTACCAAATCCAGGCCATAAAAATTAAAGCTATTTTTTAAAAATTGTGAATCTGTGGCCTAAAGTCACTAAGGAATGCTGTACCAGACCTAAGAGTTGGAGTGTGAGTGTGCCTCTTGCCTATACTTAGTGTTGGTAAAAATGGCATTGGGCATTTCTGTTTTTGTTGTTTCCCATGGATAATTGGATAAAATGTGCTCAAGCTTACAAGACAGACTGGGTTGGCAGCTAGGGGGAAAAAAGCATTAATAATACAGGCAGTCCTCAGACTTACTGTGCCCTGATCTGGGGGCACAGGTCTGCCCCCCCCAGCCCTGCTGCTGCTCACCCAGCTAGGACAGGGCAGGCATGGGACAGAGCTGTGGCTGGTCTGGGGGTGCCCTGTCCTGCACTGAGTGGGTGAGCAGCGGGAGTACATAGTGCAGCTCCAGCCCTGCCCACGCTGCCCCACACAGATCTGGGGGCATGCCCTCCAACCCCCCAAGCCCTCCCGGACGAGTAGTGGTAGCCGGTGGATGAGCCGCCAGATGAGCAACTTGCCCCAGCCCCTCCCTCACCATGGGGGGAGGGGGGGGCAGCTTTGATCTGCCCTTCCACCCCTTCTCCCCTTCCACCACACCAGACTTACCATCTGGTTGCAGCTGTACCCAGCATCATAAAGGTGAAACCCACGTCTGAAGGTCGACAGGGTGTCAATTTATAAACATCTTAAGTGCCGTTTGTCATAACTCAAAAAGTTGTAAGTCCAAGGACTGCCTGTAAATGGCATGTTTTTCATGGATGTACTACAGTCTTCTCTTGGTTCATTTCAGCCTGGATGGAAGAGAGAATACTCAAGAAGAAGCTGGTTAAATATGATGGCATAAAAACAAAAAGACATGGCTTCATCTTGCAAAAAGGAATCACAATTTTCAAATCAAAACTCAACAAAATCATGACACTTTCTGAAATCTGGCAAGTAGGATTTACTTTCTCCAAACATTTAGACAGAGTGAGTACACATGTGGTAAGTCTACACAAGATGCTTTACTGTGCAGTAGACTAATCTATTGTCCAGTAAAGTGTTACTGTCTACACTTGCACATCATTTACTGCACAGTAAATGAGTCTACTGTGCAGTTAGCTACTGCCTGTAAATACTGTACAGCAGATAGTTACTAGATAAGGATAGCTACTACCTTAGCTAACTGGATTTTTGGTACACAATTTAAGATTCTTGAGTTTGATTTTTTTTTTAAAACAGAAAGCATTTACAGCTGTATTTAGTGGGAGTTACATTTCTCAGCCCTTCTGGAAATCACTCTTCATAGTGTACCACTCTCCAACTATAATTGAGGCATCCAAAATTAGACAGTTTTTGAAAATGTGGCTGTTAAATTGCTTGTGCCTCCATTTCTTTATTTAAAGGTGAAGCTGTCTAACTTCCCAGTGTCAGCAGACTAATTCATTACTGTCTCTAAAGCACTTTAAGATCCTGCCATGGAAGGCATTATAGGCAAAGCGTTGTTATAACAAGCTAGTTTAGCACGAAACATAATGGGTGCGTGTGTAGATGCACTCCAGGGAAAGTTTACTGCGCAGTATGCTTTCTGCACGTTAATTACATGTGTAGACGTGCCCATACAAGATCTGTTTTCTCACTTAGCCTGGTTAAACTCTCTTGATTTTTTTATTAGGAAAGGAGAAGATCAGGTCCACATAACATTGGTAAAATTATTGATGTTGCTGTAAAGCATATTAGACATTCCAAGGGTTTTGTCATATTTTTAAGCCTCCTAGCATTAGTGACCAGAGAGAAATCCTGCAAAAGTACTGTTTTTGTTACAGAAAGACTGCATAAGCAATACAAGGTAGACCTGAGAATATATAAAATACATCAATTAATGAAATAGTACTGGACAATCCAAATAACAGATGTGTTTGCTTTCTGTCACTGCCTCAGTACTGCTGAAAAATTTAAGCTTGTGACATTTAGGAATGTATGTTAGCCTCTGTCTGTCTCAGCCCTTCCTAGCCATGAAATGAGAACATCTAACTAGGTCATAGGAGTGGAATCCACTTCTTGCCGAATGCTTTGAAGTCCTCTGCAAGGCTAGAATATTATTAGCATTATGTCTAGAACCCATTTAAGAAGCCCCACACACCACGGATAGAAACAGCCAAGAACAGCACCCTGAACCTGATACTGGTGGGGAAACACTTATCCCTACACAGTTGCAAATTGCATCTGCAGTGGTTCAGCAATTCCTTCTCCTCACATCCATACTTGCTGACCTGGCTGTGCATTACAATGATTAGGATAGGAAGAAAGTGACAGGGACCCACCTGAGCATTAGCTGAAAGTGGCTGCTTCAGTCCCTGCTTCTACAACTTGTCCAAGCATCCTTCAACATTTAAATACCCTGGTGACATGTGCAATACAGAAATATATATATTTTTAATATCTATTTCGTTTTCTTTGGAACATAAATTACACTTAAGCAACATTGTCTAAGAAAATCACTAACAGCACAGAAGTAACACTTTACAGCTTTGAACAGACTATTCAGAATAAGATTTTACATTTTTCTAAAATATATCAACAATGAAATGATTGGCATAATTATGGAAGGATGTACGAGTACAAGATTTCGTTAGCCAATAGGGATATAAAGTGTTACATATAAATGATTTCGTTAGCCAATAGGGATATAAAGTGTTACATTTTAGCACTTTTCTTTCACACACTTCTTCAAATACACTCCTTTCAGTTGACCTTTATCACTCATCTCTTGCAATGCCAATTGATCCCATTCCTGCAATGGATCTTTAAAATGAAACTGGAAAATACTCTTGCTCTTGCATTATTTCCTTCAAATTCTGTAATTCTTCAGGGTTGGTGTGTGCATCTTATTTCCTGATATTCCTACTGTGCTTGAGTCTAGGTTCTGTACAGGTTCTGTACACATATTTCAATATTGTATTTCAAACAAACAAAAAAAGCTCCTCCTATATTGAAAGACCATTACTTTTGTGAAGCCAAACACTCAAAAGTTAGAAAATGCCAGACTTAAAGTTGCATACAGACAGAGCAGGCAAGTTAATATGATGCAGTCTTTAAGTAGGTACATCATCCAAAAGCTCCCTCCAGTAAAGGGTTAGTTAATTTCTTTATGGTTATTCTGTGGTCCACAAATACTTCACAATGCTCTGGAAACTGGAGGGTATTATCCCCATTTTACAGTTAGTGAAATAAAACCATTACTTTCAAGCGTCCACTAATATGGAGTGGTGAACTGAAGACACCCAGGCTCCAATTTTCCAGAGTACTAAGGACTTAATATATTCAAAGCTCAGATATATTTGACTTCATCTGCTATGGCAAGAGCTCAGAACTTACCAAATCTAAATCCATGTTTCTAACAGTAGGCACTAAACAAATGAACTTGAAACTGTGAAAAATTGGATTTAAGTGACTTGCCTGGCATCATTCAGCAACAGCAGGACAGAAGCATAGATAAATATCAGATCTTTAGGGTGACATATAACTGCTTAAACACAAGACAGCAATTTCTTTTCTTGCAGTTCCCTGCTTCATCCACTAAATTCCTTCCAATTTCTGCAACAAGTGAGGCTGAGGAGCTACAGATGACAAATTCATTGCACAATTCTGTTTCATTCTTAGGGACCATATACCCTATACACTGGATGAAGTCCAGGCTTTGGGGAAAATGAAAGACTGCATTGTAATAGTCTTTAAAATCTGAAGGATCCAGTGGCCTGATCCAATTGGTGACATCACACAAGGGTGACATGGAGGGAACCTACTGCACAATCATCCAAATCCAGATCAGTCCCCATAGAGAACCTGAGACCTCCAAGGTGAAAACAAGCATGCCTAGACAGCAGAGCACGAATTATAAAACCCACTCTGTTACAACCAGCTTTTTGGATTTGGCCATGGGCCAGTTACTTAATTGGAGTTTCAGTTTCCCCGTGTATAAAAATGAGGATATTACTAAGCTACTTCATGAGGACACTGATGCTTAAGTTATTTGTATTATGCATTGTAATATGTATGTGCAAAGCAAACTATTCATATTGCAAACACACTTAATTCTGGCATTCCTTAACTTTTAAGTGCTCGACTTGGCAAACTCACTGTTTCCTTCATACAAGGTTAGCTTTGTGGAGGAAGGGGGTCCCGGTGTACTCCTTTTCTTTAGGAAACAGAAATTGCATTGTATTGACGCTCATCATGGATTATCATCACAATTCTCTGTTGGCAACTTAGACCACCCCAGTCCTCCACCACTCCAGCTAGGGGAATGACTGGTTGCAGCAGCACACTCTTACCTTCTGTGTCACCTAATCAGTAGAGAGGAGGATGATGCATACTTTGTCATCTGGTTCCACAGGTATTTGCCTACAGCAAATGAATGTGGAGACTGAGGATTCCCGGGCTCAGTTCTAGTCTGCCTAAAGAACTGTAGTACCCCAGCTGTTATACACCCTGTCCCCATGTGTCTATTGCAGTTGTTCTGAAGCTTTTTTAGGCTCGAGCCATTCCTCTGTAACTTTTCTGTAGTTGGCAGTATTCCCTGTAGAGGGGCAGAGGGAACACCTCCGTTTTTCCATGCAAGACACATGCCCAACCCCCCCCAGCCTCTGCCTCAATACATGAAGCTCAGGGGTGCCTCTTACCTGCCAGGAACCACAGAGGCAGGGGTAGCATTTACCCTATCCTGTCTGTAGTGGTGGTGTTGCCACTAATCTGGGCTCTCAGGCAGGTCAGCAACAGCAGCCTTGTGGCAGACTGTCAGGCCAGGCTGCAGCTACTTTCCAATCCAGCCCCACAATATGTCTCAGAAAGAAAGGCACAGTGGGACAGTTCCACCCGGCAGCAATAATGAGGCAGCACCCTGGTTGAGAATCATTGGTCTCCCCTCTCTCTCTCTCTCTAACCACCCAAACTCCTTGCCTCCAGCTCCTACCTCTCCACTTCTACATACTCCATCCTATTTCACCAGTCTTGTCTCTCTTGGTTCCTACCTCTGGATCCTCTCTACTTGCTTCAGCCTACTAGCTCAAGACCATCACTCAATTTTGCTTCTCCTTGACTCCCATAACCCTTTTTCCACTTGCCACACTCACATATATCAACTCTCAGCATACCAATGTTTGTGTTTCTGCCTCTTTCCCCCTATGCATGAGTTGGGTCAGGATGTAAGGGCACAAGAAAGAAGTTCTTCTCTGGTTGTTGAATAGAGCAGTCACAGGGGAAGCCAGAGTGTATACAGCAAAAGACAAATCCTTGATAAGAAATGCATCCCCCTTTTCAGGTTTCACATTCCTGTTTACTCTGTGGATTAGACTGCAGAATGAATAATCCAGTTCACTGCTTTTCCTAATATTACTTGCATCTTTCAAGGGGAGAGAAACCGTTTGAAAATAAGGGGAAAATGGCAGGGAAACTCAGGGGCAGAAATGGTGACTGCAGCTACTTAGTGTTTCATTTTTTGGATTATGAATATACTTTTATTTAACAGTGTTCCTTTAATATGTTTATCTTATGAATATTATGCTAACATCTGATTTTATAAAATGCTACTATTTTGATTGCTGTAGAAAGCTTTTCATGATGGAAAGGACAAGGAAAGAACCAGACAAATCCACCATTTTGCAACAGGAGTAGCTTACTGTTAAAAACTGTTTTCTTTTTGTAAACCAATACACTTGTATCCTCCTCCAGATCTCTGGTTCCTTGAATAATGTGCTTCATGTTAAAACAACACTCCAGACATTTATATTTGTAGGATGCCATGTAATAAATTGGTAAGAAACCAAAATAAAATCCAAAAAGAGCCATAACCATGAAAAAACCCTGTCCGTTTGTTCAACATCTTAATTATAATACCATTTCTAAGGAAACAGCTATTCCAATAGATGTGAGTGTTTCACGTCTTAATATTCATTACAGTTTTTAAATATCTTTAAACACAATAAGGTAGTCTGAGTCACTACAACATACTTTAAGAGATGTGGTCAAGTACAGAGAAAGTTACTATGCCTGAAATGCATTTCTAGGTGCTTAATTACCCAATGTAACAAGAACGAATAGATTAGTGCTACATGAGATACACTGCGGTTAAATTAGAACTTAAAATAATTCCTAATGTGTAGGTAGGTTAAAAGAGAAGGCACATTTTGTTTTAAGAATATAAACATATATTTCAAGAAGGTAAAAGTTTTATGCCTAGGCAACTTTCTCTAAGTCACAGTAGCATAATCTATAATTGAACAACCATAGCTGAGTTTATTTGAACTTTCAATAGAAAGATTTTAAAAAATACTTTAAACTAGTTTATTAAGAAAGAAATTCAAGGTATAAGCAAGAGTTTCTCCTTCTCTCATATATAAGCCACAAATTATGTCACTTTCCACATTGGAAATCATAGTTTCTCTGTCAAATTTTGTTGAGTTTAGTAACAATCAGTACCCTCACAGTCTGGTCAAATGCAGTGCAGGCACAGAGGCCCCTTTTGTCTGGGCTCCAATCAAGACTAGAAATGGGCTGTGTTGACAAGGTCACATTCTGCAAGAGATTGACTGAACCTGCAACTCCCATTTCAACTCCTTCTGAATCCTTCTTTGAGCGCTGAGCAGGGTACTCACTGACAAAGAAAAAAAATAAAGGATTTAAAAATGTTTTATATACAAATGCCTCATAACATAACTTTTATGCTATATATATTTTCGCAAGCTCACAGAAAAGGTGTTCCCATAACCTAGAGATACTGAAAACAGATGTGCTAAAAAAAAAAAGTGAATCACAAGTGTCCCCAGATTCGTCCACTTAAATGCATTACTGATAAATATTTCTTGATGAAATTCACTCCAGCTCAGAGAATTCATACAGACTCATATGCATCACCTTAGGCCTATGTTAATGAACAAACCCAGACCCCTTATTGTACAGCCATCCAGCTCAAGTAACTGAGGACAGCTTGCTTTGAGGTTATTGAGCCAATCTAGTCAATGTGATTATGCCTCAAAGTCCACTTCGGGGGTAAGACAGCAAGAAAACTGAAAGGATCCAGGGACCCTACCCATTTTGTAAGACCATGCAGAGCAGTGCTCCAAGACATGGAAGGAATATGTGCCACATGCACATTCATCTAAATCCAGGTCAGCTTTCAAAGAGGACTTGACCCTGGAGTCTCAGGGTGAGGCTTCCAGCGTGAAAAACAATATGCCTAGAAGAGCAAAAGTTACGATACCCTTTCATTTGCTACCAACTCTTTGACTATGGTCATGGGCAAGTTCCTTAACTGTTTCAGTTTTTCCATATGTAAAAATGAGAATAACAGTGAGCTACCTCCTGTGGACACTGAGGACCTTATTTTGCATAAAGATTTGAAAAATGTAAAATGCCAGATATATTTAACTAGATGCAGTCTGAACTCTTTAAAATGTTTATTACTACTAATAGATACAATAAGAAATCTTTTTTAAAATATGGGATTTCTTTATTTAACTGATAACACAATGAGAATCAGATGATATAAAGTTAAACGTCTAGGATCAAACTCATCCTTACTGTAAACTCACTGAGCACATCCCTTTGAGTGTCTGTGTGTGGTTGGTGGCACCTCAAAACAGTTTGAGGCACATGTGCAAGCATTTGCCACATTGCTAATTTGCAATGAGGCAGGCTTTTTTGACACCGAAAGATCCCAGTGTAAAAAAAAATAAAAACCCGCCACTGAAAAAAGCAGTACGGTGCACATGCCAGCAGCATGCACCGGCAGAAAGGGAGCCTGGCCAGCCAGAGTCACGCTCTGACAGGCCCCCAGGACCTCAGGTAAGGCTGCTGGAGCCAGCACAGGTACTGGCTCAGCCTCCCCTACCCTACTCAAGTCATTTTGCCATGTGCCAGAGCACGCATGCAGGGGCATGCCCAGGGACAAATAGCAGCAGCACAAATATGCGCTGCTGCTATTTGTACCATGAGAAACATGCACACTCGTAGGGATGTGACCATTAAGGCCTTCCAAGTTGCACCAGAGATTAATTCAGCCTTTAACATCAAGTGTCATGAGAAATGATCTCTTGCATCTCCCTGTATTTACAGATGTAGTGAATTGAACCAAGTACATTTTGAGGCAGGAAATAGGACTCACTTGTGTTCTTCAGGAAGAGCTTTAAATGAAAAAACAAATCCAATAGCTGTTTGTTTCCCCTCCACCCATGTGGCTTAAGTAGCAGGCACTTACTATTTCCAGAGATGAAGGCTCCCCGCCCCTCCACTGGTCATAAATACATCTCTGTTTTGAGGCAGATGCCGAACTTGCCACATGGTAGATTTGTGAGCCTAATAAATACCAAAAATTTATAAAAGTAAATTGCCAATAAATCTCATGAGAAAGGACATAATAAGTCGTGCTACTACAATTGCTTACACATATACTTAAAGCATGCAAGTAGTCCAGTTGAAAGCAATGGTACTACTAGTGAATGTAATTATGCCTCAAGCTTTCAAGTCCACTTTAGGAGTAAAACTACTTAGGTGAGGAGCACTGGCGACATGTAGGGGGTGCATGCGGGTACATGTGCCCCCCCCCTGAGATTGGCAGTGCGCCCCCTGTAAAAAGTGCCACTGACACTGCCGGTGGCACCTGCGGGTGGTCGCCGACCATTCGTCAGCACTCACCACCCCCCTCTCCCCCAACACCGCTGTGGCTGCCTAAGGGAGCTCCCCGCTCGCTATCGTCACGCCCCTGCTGCCAACATCACCACCTGTGGGCGGTCACCGTGCCCCTCCAGCCTCTGTAGGTACACAGCGTTCATGGTGAGGAGAGTTCTCTATGGGCACGTGTTCCAGGAGTGGGGGCGGGGCTTTAATTAGAGCAACTCAGAGAGTCGCTTTAATTAAAGCGCCTGAACCATCATGTGCATCAGGGTCCCTGTGCTGAAAAATGGCTGTGGGGGCACTTTAACTAAAGCTCATCGAACAAGCTTTAGTTAAAGTGCTCCTGCCGCCATTTTTCAGTGCGGGGACATAGATACACATGATGCTGGAGTCTGCTGGAGCGCGGTAATTACCATGCTCCAGCAGATTGAGTCTGCTCTGATGTGCTGTAATTACAGCACATCAGAGCAGTTTCCCCATACATATATAGGCGCTCTGTGTGCATAAAGGTGCACTGGACCAGGCCTATGGTCAAGAATGACAATCATGTAGTTACAGAATTTCTGACGTCCGAAATGAAGTAGTTTTTACACACATAACTACTGCCAGAAATGATCCTTTCAAACAATCCCCAGAATTTTCTAGCACACTTATTACACAGTACAAAATTAACACAGGATTTCCATTATTATTTTTAAAAGCTTAATGGTCAGCTGGGTACTCTACCAATTCATTTTATCTACTACAATCTTTGATATTTAAAAGCAGGGTTCAAGAAACATGTGGTCCATATGCCGGATCTGGCCCAAGGAGCAACTGGATCCAGCCTGTGGATCTGGAGTGTTTTGCTTGTACCTGAATCAGGGCTGGGCAGCAAGGAGTTGTGCTGGAGCTGGGCAGCTTCCAGGTGCTCCAATGCTGCTGCTGCTTCTCCCTGCCCTCCCAGCTCCAGTCCAATGTGGGCCAGGTGCCTTTGGCAGTGCATCAGCAGCAAAGGCTTTGCCTGCACCAGGGCTGGAGCCTGACACTAGGACCTGTGTCTAGGCTATTGTCATTTTCTGCAGAACCCTGCTCCTCAACTACAGCACACACACAGCTTTCATCGGCTGGTGGGCAGCTGCTCCAGGGCTGGGCATCTGCAAACTGTGTCTGCATTGCTTCCACCAGCTGTAGTGCAGGCACAGCTTCCAGATGGTAGGGAGCTGAGCAGCTTCCAGCTGTGCCACAACCTGGGCGTGGCAGGGAGGAAAATGAAGGAGGGAGAGGGAAGAAGCAGTGGCAGCACAGACACAGATGACAAATACCTGGTCCCAGGACATTTCCCCAACAGATTGAAGCTGCACCCATACCACAGCTGAGGAACACAAGACTGGGGGAAAATGGCAGCAGCAGCAAGGGTACAGCGCTCAGCACAGGGAAAGCACCCTCTGCTGCCAAGAGCACCCAGCTCATGTTGGACCAGAGCTGGGCAGTTCTGGCCTATGGCTTGTAAAAAATTGCTGGTCCCTGGCCTAAAAGGAACAAATTAAAGATGATAAACTGACATTACAAATGAAACAGTCCCGTGGAATTTTCTCATTAAAGTACCCGTGTTTTGAAAAGAATTTAACTTATAATCAAACTGCTACTCATAAAGTATCTGCTTCAATCAATACGATGCTTTAGGGATTTAGGGAAAAGATCACTGGCACTCCAGTTTTAGAATTCTGTGGCGCATCGTCATGTAAGAGGCCTTCTCCAAGATCCACTTCCACTCCTGCTATTCCAACCACAATTTGCTTGGTTCTTGGTTACCAGGGGGTCTACAAACATGTGACCCATTGCACTAAGCTCCAAACAACTCTTTATCGTCAAACACAATTAACATTCATATCTTGACTTTCAACAAGCTCCATCATTCTAGATTGAAATTGCTTTTCAATCTACATGTACACATCTGCCTATGAAATTATAAAATAATAAAGCACAAGTAAACAGAATAATCTGATACCCCAGCTAGAACATTTATTAGTTATCACGCCTAGTGGCAATGAGCTATTCATCTGTACTCTATGCCGTACAGAGGAAGTGTATGCCACAAGTGGAAGTCTACTGAATTACATCACACTCCTTTCTCTCCAGGTAGCAGGTGATGAAGAGAAGAGCCTGAGCCTGAAGTCTCTCATGCAATATTGCATACAGAATGGGCAGCTTGCTTCACTCTACACATTTTAAGTAATACCTATCTTTCAAATGCCTGATTTGTTATATAAACCTAAGAATTTGGTTATCCCTTATACCTCAAATACAAGAGTTTTAAGTTTGCAATATTTCAAGAGCTGCAAGAGTATGAAATATCCTTTAAAAAGAATAACTTCTTACTTATACCTTTTCTGAAACTGAAGCAAAGCCTTTGGTTGGATGCTGAGTTCTCATATCAAACACATGAAACTTTCCTTCAAGTGATGTAGCCACTAATTTATTCATATTTATATCCTTTCTGTCAAACTCCACACTGCAAACCTGGAAACGTAACACAGAAAAAAAGCATTTAATTTACAATTTAACTCATCACAGAATCACCTATTTCACATTTGTAATTTATGGGTCCATCATAAACTCAGATTATAATTACAAAAGTAAAGAGAATGCTGTGAATTTGGAAATAATTGACTGAGCATGATTATTAAAAAAAGGAACCCATTCAAAAAATGTACTCAAGAAATATTTGAGTAAACTGATACAAGTCACAGCATACTCTAAAAGCTAACGAAGTAGGATGGTAGTTTTCTACCCTTTTACCTGTGGTGACAGTTTTCAAAAGAAAATAATTTTGAGATCACACCTAGCCAAGAAGAAAGTTCTCAGTTAAGAACCCAGAAACTAGCATTTGGTAGCCCACTGGGACAAAAAACCTTCAGTATATTTTCTCTGAAAATCTGAACACATTTCAAGTTGATGCAGTACCCCATTCTTAATGTTGGTCTCCCACCGCAATGACATGGTTTTTAAGTCAAATAATTTGATATCGCCATTGTCATAGCCAGCACACACAACACGTTCTTCTTGATTGTAGGCATTGCCTGGAAATTAAGAAATGAACATTTAGATGTATAACAGCATCCTGACTGCACTGTACTTCAGGTACAAGTCTGAAATCTGATCTTGCATTTATGCAAATGAATAAAATTTACAGTTAAAATATTTGCAATTAGATGTTAGATGAAGGATCGGGTTTTTAAATATGTAACATATCAAGTTTAGCCTCAAAATGGCAAATTCTGTCCTTTATGAAGTTCTCGTACTGCTCAACCCTCTATTTCTAGCTATGTTAATAGGCCACCTCATAAGATAGATATGTTTCCTTTAAAATGGTTGTAATTTGCTTACCAACAAATGTTCCTTGGCTTAACAACCACTTTCTGCAGACCAATTCAACCAAACAGCTTTAGTGTTTGGAAAACTAGACATTTCTCTGCACCTCAATGAAATTATGAATTTTCAGACTATTCTAGCAGAATGGACCTCATCCTGACCTATACTTACACGTTACTGAAAACGTGACATCTGACTTCACTCTGAACCATTTATAAGTTTCATATGAGAGAAATGGCATAAAACACCTGTCTAACAGAAAAAAAAACAACTTTCTTTGCAAACGTCAGCATATTGTCTCACAAAGTACCGCTGACCTGCATATAAGGCTTATGGTTTAACATCATTAAGACTCATTTATCTGACACAGGACTCAAAGGATGATGACAGAAAGCTGCTTATCATGCCTCAGAGCCCTCATATGTGGAACTCTCTGGGGATCAGACTGTCTCTCTCCTCTTCAGTGTCTGTAGAGCTATTCTTGGTGAGGTCCTCAGACCTATGGCATTGGTGACACTTAATTCCCTAACTCCTCTTCAGCTGATACGATCAGATGTACACATGAAGAAATTAGCACATGGACAAAAGAGGAGATGGCTCAAATTGAGTGCAGGCAAGATTTAAGCAGTGCTGGTACAAATGAGAAAAAAGAAATGCTAGTGAAGGCACTGAAAACTCTCCTTTTGTCAAAGCAGAACAAAGCCTCCAAGTCTCAGTGGAGTCATTACTAACTCAGAGCATTTAAACAGCAATAGCAATGAGCAATGCCCTCCACTAGCTGGCCAATAAACTACACCTCCTTACTGGAGATTTTGCTGCAGTAATACACACGCTTATTAAGAAGCTATACAACTCACTAAACCTGACACAAAACACGGAAAGGAACCAGAAATACGGACTTGTACAAAACACAGCAGCTTGCCTCCTTCACAGCAAAAGGGGTGTGTGTGTGTGTGTGTGTGTGTGTGTGTGTGTGTGTAAAACAAACAAACGTGTGTGTGTAAAACAAACATCAGATTTCTAGTTTGCTCCCCCCATTAGTTCCCAGTTAAGGACTTTTGTTAATATTTGAGCACCTGACAAGATAGAATTACACTACTGAGATTGACTCCACATCCACTGCAACAGTCAAGCTCCTCCAGCAGTATACAGCTGAAAGTACTAGGGTTAACTTTTCAAGAAACAGATACAAGAGCTTCACCATTGAAAGCCACCTGCCTCTGGCTTACCAAAGAAGATAACACAGAGCCTAAGCCTCACTGTTTTCAGAATATGTTGCTGCAAGATTTGCCCTTTTCCAAAAACACAGGCTAGGAATAAATTACCCAGTTAGCAGAAACCAACACACCTGAGAGATATAGTATAGAGTCTGCTATAGATAGTCCCATAAAACATTTACCATATATGGTACTAAGATATCTGCACAGTCTTTAAACATGAGTTACATCACAGGGAGCTGAACACAGAAAGGGCCATACAAGAGAGGGGAAAGGCAGCTACTGACAAGCTGTTTTCCATACCCAAAGTCACTGCAAGAATGACACTGGGATAAAAATTACAGAGTGGTCTATTTCAGACACTGCTACTTTTCTTCCTCTAAGTTTAATCAAGATAGTCACTATTTGCATTAATTGTTCAGAGCCTTCAACACCTACTTTTACAGATAGCTGAAAGGGCTAAATCAGTGGTCCTCAGCCCAACATGAAGCACATAAGACCTTCCAACAATGTTTAGTGACACAGGGAATTAAAAGGTTAGAACCGAGGTTGACAGGGATAACAAGATACGATGTTGCCCACAATGTGTGATTTGCTCAGTATTACTATTCATGTACCAGTAAAATTTGGGGAACCCTGGGCTAGAGAGATGGATAAATATTTTGTAGCATGGAAGGTTATAGACTGCGAAGTTTATCTGTATTACCAAATACTACTGTCCAGCAGTCCCTCTTGCTCTCCCCTTGTACTGGTTCCATATTAGCAACAGGAGTATCTTTTTGTCTTGGATCCCATACCTTGACAGTTCCTGTAATAAAGAATCATATAGGATTTTATATTGCTGCTAAAGTAGGATGTTGTGTTCATGCTCCACATACAAACTCAGCTCGTCAACCAGCTTAAAAAAATTATTCCAAGCACATTTGTATATCTAATTTCTAGCAAAGTAAATTGCACTTAATGGGTAGAAAAATGGAATAGAAATTAGGAAAGATGTTTTGCTACTTTAAAAATACATGACCTGTCCAATTTCATCTAGAGGAATGTACCATTTACTTTACCAAACATGGCCTCAGGTAGTCTGCTTCAAATTCTACCTTTCTTCTTTCTAACTTTATCCTCAGGAAGAGGTAGTTTCTCCAGTTCATTTACAAAAACCTGCATTTCTTTTACTTGGTACTTTCCTATATTTCTATAATTTGCTACAGCCTCCAAATACATTGTGAAAACTGTCCCATGCAGGATTTAATATAGCAAACTCAGCACATGAAGATCTGGTTGCAATACAATTGTACCCATATCCAATGGCAGAAAGAGTACCCATAGCTGAAAATGCTAATCTTGCCTTATATGTACCAGGCTAAGAAATAACAGCACTCAATCATAGTAATGGACTGGACAGTTCAGTAACTTCAGAAAACAAAACTGAAAGGAACAAACTAGCTTTTCCATGGGTACTCAGAACTGCTAACTGCCCTGTCTTTCCTGCTACCACACTTAAGTGAATTGCTACCCCAAAGCTCTGACCCCGTTTCAAAATAACAGGTGCATTCCTCTCATGGCAATTTTAAATACTGTACAGTACTGCTAGCCTGAGAGCCATGACTAGATACGTAATTCACCAACATAGTAACAGCAGCTTCTTGGAAATACTGTTATTAGATATAAAACATTCTGCCCGATAGATAAATACTAAAGGAAAGGCAACACAAAATAAGGAAACTCTCTCCATTAAGCGTAGCTGTTGAAGCCACCCAGTCCTGTTCCAAACCTTGGTTACTTTAAGTGGCATTCTGGGTCCTGGAAAGGAATGACCAAGATAAAGAGAGTGGGGAAGGGGGTGATGAGTATTAAGTAATAATCAAGTGACAAGACTACTGTATATAAGGAAAAAGTGCTGAAGAGAAGATTGTAAGAATACAAATGACCTGGTAACAAGCAACAGGAATGAGAGCCAGAAGAAAAGGATTGGAAAACTTGCTTTAAGTTGAACTATTTTTTACATGACTTGAGCTCAGAAGAGGAGAAATTATTTCAGAACGCTGGTAATGAAGCACTTTACTGGAAAAAAGGTTAAGGGAGCAGATGCACCCAAAAGCAGACTAGTTAAATTGCTGCAAAGCAATGCTTTAAGTAAGGGGTCAGATCTGGCTCACCAAGTGATTTCATCTGGCCTGCAAAGCCCAGACATCAGCAGCATTTGAGCAGTGGGAGATTCTGTGGCATTCAGTGGCCCCTGGGTTGTGTGTGTAGCGGCAGCAATTTGGTACTAATGGGAAGTGGCAGTAGCCAAGTCAGAAGTGTTGACCTGCCAATGGACAGCGGCATTACTGCAACCAGCCACTCTGAAAAGGTTGCCAATCCCAGTATTGCCAACCCTACCATGTAAAAAATAGAGACAAACTCTTAAAAATGAAAAGACTTGGTATGTAAATCATGAGATGCTATTTTGAAGTATAAAGCAATATAGATATATTGACTGTTGGTTTCTAAATCCCATTAGTCACTTACTTAACTTCTAATACATCAGAGATTAATACAAAAACTATATTACTACAACTGATAATGATTTAGGGGGAAAAAAAATTCCTACCTGTTGTTACAATTGGGATGACATCTGCTGGACTGTTGTGTGTTTAGCATTTTCCCAGACACACAGACAGAGCCTAGCAGGTAAGTCTGTGGAGGGGAAGGGGCGGGGGGGAGGGCAGATTGAAGACTCTACAGTGGGGGAAGGAGTAGGGCAGGGGCTGGGGTGACTGGGGCACCAGGACTGGGGCAGGTCATGAGACAGAGCTGCAGGCAACTCGTCCAGAGGCAAGGGGTAGGAGGGGCAGGGGCACAGCTCCCCACTGCTGCGTGCACCCCTGGGGGAGGCATGGGGGGCATGTGCCCTCCAGATATGTACATGGGGCAGATGGGCTGGGGCTCTGTGCCCTGCTGCCTTTGCCCTGGGAGCTGTGTACTCGCTGCGCCATGCATACTCTGCCCACCTGACAGCAGGAGGCACAACATGGCATCGTACGGCTCCTGGGGCAAAGGCAGCAAGGGACAGAACTCTAGCCTGAAGCAGGCAGCCCGCCTCTCCCCACACACAAATCTGGGGGGCACGTGCTCTCTATGCTTCTCCCAGGGGTGCATGCAGCGGCAGGGAGCTGTGCCCTCTTCCCCCAAACACCTCTGGACAAGCCACCCACAGCTCTGTTGCACAACCCGCCCCGCAACCGGGGCCCCATTCACCCCAGCCCCTTCCCCACTTCCTCCCTCACCACGGGGGCCTCAATCTGACCCCCCTGCCAACACTTTCCCTCTCCCCTTCCACAGACTTATCTGCTGGGCACTGCTCTACACGTGCCAGAAGAAGAAATCCCAAGATCTGAGAGTTCTGTCAACAGATCATGAGTCCGACTTAATTTTACTTAGAAACTGCGACTCTCGTGATAATTTTGCAAGAGTTGGCATTACTGCAATCCTTGCATTAGGTCCAAAGCTCTATAAGCTTCACTGGATCATAAGCTACCTTCATAAAAAATGGTTGTGAAGTAAATGAATGAAACATTAAGCTTTCTGACACAGTTTGGGAACCCTTGCCTTAGATTCTTACCTAATCCTGCATTAGAAGGCCAATGTATTTGGTAATTGTTTGGTTATGACAAGCTCGCTGACAGATCAAAACAGGTGTCTGAAGTTCTGTTGTGAATTCAAGACAAACTAGCTCCATAGTCTTCAATCTAGGTCCACAGACAGCATTTTCCAGGCAGAGAATAAGGATTTATATGAAAACAATATTTTGCTTTGATGTAGTTTGGTTTAAGTTTTCCTTGGACTGTAAACTTCAGGTGCTGACTGTTTCTTTCTACTTATTCATATAAAGCTTAATACAATGATTAGAGCCCCCAGGCACACCTATAGCACTGATTATAAATGTTAACACAGAACATGCTAACTCACCATCTCGGCTAACTCACCATCTCGACTGCCTGTCACAATTTCTGGTGCTCCTTCCCCAATCCCTAAGCCACCTATTCCATCAATGCTGTTTATGATTTCTTTATGGCCCTTCACAGAGTAGACTGGGATCTCTGGAGCTTCCAGGTTCCTAGACAACAGAAAAGAATAAACAGTGTACTGTACACATGTTCCTTGACACTTAGCATTAGTATACAAAAAAGGTAATGTCACATTCCCGGAGGAGCAACACATAGTGACACAAACTTGCAGAAAGAATAAAGCAGTTGCAACCAAGATATTGGCTTTTATAAAGATCAAAAAAGGAAAGGGAAGAAGCTGCTTCCGCTTACACATACAATTCTAACTGAAGTTCAAAACTGCTCTAACTCAGAAAAAAAAGTATTGACCTTTTACCAGTCATCTGACTTTCTTTACTGGTGTCTTGCAAATGCTTACATGCTGGCAGCTATACGCCCTAATTCATTTATTATTTAAATAATGTATTCTATTTGGTATATTTAAAAAACATTTCATCCACTTTGGCAGGACATCATTATAGTCAGAATTAGCAAGCAAGAGCCATTTTCTTCAATTAAGATAAAAAAGTCAACTAAAGCTAATCAGAATCTAAGAAACAGAAATTAGTTTGAAAGAACGTTAAGCCCTGATATTGTATGTAAGGGTGCACCGATAAAGATTTTCTTGGCCAATACTGATGGACGATTATTAACCAGCCATACTGGCTGATTACCAACACGATAGTCCATTTACAGGAATGCAGCCCGGCAGCTTAGAGAGCAGTGCCCTGCAGTTAAGTCTGCGGGGGGGGCGGTGCGCAGATCGAGGCCCCCACAGTGAGGGTGGAAGAGGGGCAGGGGCAGGCACTGCCCAGCTGGGATTGGGGGGTGGGGAGAGAGGGGGAAGGTAGCCATGATGGGCGGCTTGTCTGGGGAACAGGGTGGGTGGGGTGGCTCCCCACCACTGTGTGCACCCCCCCAGGGAAGGCATAGGTGGCATGTGCCCCCCAGCCCAGCCCCAACCCAGCCCCCCACCAGGAAGAGGCTGGCGCAGCCCCTAGCCCCAAGCCCGCAGAGGGCAGCCTGCCCTCGCCCCATGCACAAATCTGTGGGGACACATGCCCCCTATGCCTCCCGCAGAGGTGCATGTAGCAGCAGGGAGCAGCCCCACCTCCCCGCGCCCCCCCGGACAAGCTGTCTGCAGCTCCAGGGTCATGCTCACCACCCTGGCTGGGCAGTGCCTACCCGTGCCCCTGTTCTACTTCCTCCCTCACCATAGGGGCCTCTATCTGCCCCTTTTCCCCCCCACAGGGGCCCCTTTTTCCCCCACAGACGTACTGGTCAGACACTGCTCTCCAAGCTGCCAGGCTGCATTCCTGGCCGCGTGCAAGCTGCAGCTGTGCACACGCACGCAGCATTTATCGGTGACAATATCAGCCAAAAAAAAGCCGATTGCCAATAATGTTAATTTTCCTGAAATTAATGCTGATCCAATATGCGACCAATATATCAGTGTACCTGTAATTATATGTTATTAATGAAAAATGGAAATTCATATCCAGAACCTAAAAAGATTACTAGAGAATTGATCGACTGGGACCACAGTGCCCACAGATATCAAACCACCCAGAAACACCTATAACTCTGTAACACCTTATGGAAGAAATATGCTATGCAGCATAGCATTAATGTTTTATGTTTAACTATTCATGATGGTGAAACTTTCATGTCATGTTACTACTCAGGTTGGTGTCAAATTCATAAAGAATAAAACTATATGATTATTTTAAATTTAAATTAGGCCTTAAAAAATATTTTTGAAAGAAAAATATATTTTAATAAAGTTGACAACCTGCATAAAGGTCTGAAACATGACGCAATGTTAAAATAATTTAAAATTCATTAAAAATTATAATTCAAACAGTACATGTTTGTTGCTGAAGTTTTAAAGAAATTCAAAACCACTGAACTGAGTGCAGTCACACATGAAGCATCGGAATCAGGGTATGCAAAGTGATCAGTCTGCTTTTGACAGCTGTTATGTCTTCAACAGGTGCAGGAAGAAATATTTATTTCATTTTATTTGGTTTAATTTAGTTTGCTCAAAGTTAAGAAATAGCTTTGAGTTGAAGATGGAGGATGGACTGTTTTCCTTTATGACTTTATGAATACAACTAGGCTTGAAAGGCTCAGATCTACAGATTCTAAAATCCTGAAGGTTGTGGGAACTACAAACAACCAATTAAATTAGCTAATACAGCTAATAACGCCTTTCTTAATAAATCGTTTTGCTTTTAAAATGTTTTGATCATTTTTAACTGAATTCAAATACCCTTTCAATCAGAGCTCGACACAAATCACAAGCAACTGAGATTTCTGCTATCTCGAGTCAAAAGATTTATATAAAAACAATTTTTTGCTTTGATGTAGTTTGGTTTAACAGTTTTCCTTGGACTGTAAACTTCAGGTGCTGACTGCTTCTTTCTACTTATTTATATAAGACTTAATACAATGATTAGAGTCCCCAGGCACACCTATAACACTGATTATAAACGTTAACACATCAAAAATATGCAAAATCAGTAATACTAACTCAAAATACATCACATGAAGGTAAGTAACAAGAGAAGACATGAAAAATTCTCACCATATATTGAGGTTGCCACCAAAATCTCCAGTTGCTAGATATCTCTGCTGCAAAGACGAAGCGCCAAAAGTTCCACATTTAATGGGCTTGGGCTTTTCAATCTTAAAAGAAAAAAAGGTAACTTTTTTTTTTTTTATCAGCACATTAAAGTGATCACCAAAACACTACTGCAGATACAGAGCTTCTTAGAAGTCAGTTCAGGCAACCCTCACCATTCACGGGTGATACATTCCCGTGATCCCCACAAACAGCGAAATCCACGAATGGGGCACTGCGCTCATGAACACAGTGCCCCCAGCACCTGGCGGGTGGGGCACGGCTCCAGCGGGGGCAGCAGGAGCCCGACACCAGTGGCAGAAGCCCAGCAGCAGCAAACGCAGAGCTCCCAAGGAGCTCCGGTAAGTATTCAAAGTGTATTTAAAATGCAGGTTCAGCATTTGCGAATATTTGAAACTGCGAATGCTGAACCCACGAATACCAAGGGTTTCCTGTATAAAATGCAAATTAAACCTTCTATAAAACAATACAGTATTTACTTGAATCCAAGATAACTTCAAATTTATGATGACCCCCCCAATAATTAGATATATATGAAAAATTTATAAATTATTATATATATAAGGGCTTAGTCCGTCTGTGTGTCAGTCTGTAACTGTAACGCTCTTGGGGGCGTGGCTCCAGCCAGTGCTGTGTGCAGGGCAAACTGCCCGTCAACAATGATGGCGGGGACACAGCAACGGTGCAGGGCTGGGGAGAATGACGGTGAGGACAGAGCCCCTGCCACCCTGCTCCTTGGAGGCGACAGCAGCATGGGGTGGTGGCAGCACTC